AACTTAATCACCCACTAACACAATTGCCCTCACCACTTCTCCGAGCTCATTATAAAATTAGAAGGAACCGCCTTGGTAGATGCAACAGTGTTTCTGCCTCTTCACCTCCTTACCATTAAGAAAACCACTTGTGGCATATAATTGAGTAGCATTTGCCATCTCTGTTGTGGGAAAGCCCTCTATTCTTCGCAGAGGAACAAAACAGAACTTGCTGCAACTAGAAACAAACATAAGCAAAAGAAAGCAAACTGCCCCCATTCCCCACCTCCCTTAGACAGTCTCAAATTATATGCAAACGTGAGCTGATTCATGTGGAAGGGCTCCATCGCAGAGATCTAGAAAGTTCCAATTAAGCAGGCTAGATGAGGATAAGTGATATGACCACACTCAACAGGAAGCTTCAGGCCTAAACACATTAACCAGAAATGACTCTACAGCTGGTTTATACATATGACATCATATAGTCTGAGCTGTGGTCCTTGCTGCCCACTGAGAAGTGTTTACTGTCATCTGACTTAATTCTAAAGGAACTTCCATTTCTTTTGACTCCTATATGAGCTTCAAAATCTGCATTTTACTAGCCACAATTTCACATTAAATCACTTTGGCCAATGCTTTTTTCTTTCCCTTTTTTTTTTTTTTGTTTTTGGAGACAGAGTCTCGTTCTGCCGCCCAGGTTGGAGTTCAGTGGCGCAAACTTGACTTACTGCAACCTCTGCCTCCTGGGTTCAAGTGAGCACCTCCAACTAATTTTTATATTTTTAGTAGAGACGGGGTTTCACCATGTTGGCCAGGCTGGTCTCGAACTCCTGACCTCAAGGGGTCCACCCACCTCAGCCTCCCAAAGTGTTGGGATTACAGGCATGAGCCACCATGCCCAGCCCAATGCCTTTTTCTAAACCCTGGTAATCTGGCGTTTCCTTCTCCAAGAGAACATTTACACACCTCTCAGAGTGAGTGAGGCCCTACAAGGCTAGCTGGATCACAACTTACTAGCAGGAGTTACATATTTAGGGAAACAACATGTCTTGGGAAGACAATGAGCACAAGAGGGGAAAAAAGTGGAAAAGAGTTTGGGAAGCCCAAATAGGAACACGAAAGCCATGGGACAAAAATGAAAGGAAGGTTTACACAATACC